AAATAAATATCAGAAATATTTTCAAGTATATATTCAATAATTGATATAAAAAAGAAAATAAAAATCTTCAACTGGTTAGATTTAAGTTATTTATTATTACTAAAAATGGATAAGATAAATTATCTTGAGACTGAGATTTATTGATCAGACAGACTAAAATTGATAAACAAATAAATAAAAGAGAATTATTGTTATTTCTAAAAAAATGACTAAATAAATTATTGTTTTGTGTTAATATTAATTATACTAAAACAGTAAAACAGTTTTTTTATTTTAAAATTAGTGTTTGTATGTAGTAGTAGTGCATGCAAATTTCAATCATCTTTATACAAGTTGATTGATAATTTTTTTTTTTTAAATAAATCATGTGCATTTTTGCTGAACTTATTTAAATCTAAAATAAAAACAAAGCAAATGTTTAAATTTATTTTTATCATAAAGAAAATATGATTGATTTTGGACTGAAATTGACTATCAAAACATTTTACAAATATTTTTAAAAAACATTAATTAAAAAAAATCCTTTAACAATTTTTTTACACATTTAAAACAAATATCATTACAAATAATACTACTTTTTAATAAATTGACTACACTTGTGTGATAGATTTCAATCATTAACATTAAAGAAACTTCAGAATTATTGAAATTAATGGCATTACAAAAGTGGATTAAAATAATAAATTTTCAAAATAATTAATTATATAGATAATAATTAGCTTTTTTGTTGTTATCTAATCCTTTCTTCATATATGAATTTCTTTGTCTTCACATTAAGGTTGTGGGTGAAACCTCCTTATTAATTGCTGAAACCACAGCAAAACTATATTAAATCTTATCAAAAATCCTGTTGAAACTATGCCAAAAGGCGAAACCTCAAAATGTGAAACTCTGCCAAAACTCTAATAAACAATTAATGTGTAACCTGCTGAAACCCTGCTGATTGATTTCTGGATGAGTTTTGGCAAGCAACCTTACTTCACATCCATCACAATGATTATTTAATACATTTGATATCATCATTGACATAACAAACAATTGCATCACCCAGGTGGTAATAATACCAAGGCCATGCATAAATGAAACTTTTAATAATGCATGTCTACCCAGATCTCTGGTGTTCACAAGAATAAATAAATAAATAGGGGGGATCAAAAAAATATATTTCCCCTTCCCATTGTATAATTCCTTATGAATAATAAATCTGATGTTGATTGTAGGTGTCAGATTTAATTAAAATTTCCTATCACAAACATGCAATCGAATGCAATTGCACACCCTTAGCACCATGGAATTTTTTCCACAAGTAGGGGCAGGTTGAACATGTTGAAAGGCTTTGGACAAAAACATTCTCTATCTTCCTCTCAGACCAGGCTTAGCATTAATCGTTGATAATTAGTGTTTGTGTGATGATTGCTTTGTGTTATACCTCTCTCACTAAAATAAAGTTGGTGTCTGCAACTGATTCAAAATTTGCAACTCAGAAGGTTGCAACCTGGGTTGCTGTTTTGGATTTTCCCTGAATTCAGAGTTTTGAGTCCTGGGTTGCTGTCTTGTTGGTGGCATGCCGACAACCCTACCCCAATTCAAATAACAAATTTAGTTGGTCAAATAAAAATTTAGAGAAACAGAAAATTTGGGAAAATGATTAATTTATATAAAACATACCAAACAAAACCCAAACCATTTTATAACTTTTTTCTTGTTGACCATGTTGCAGACAAAGATATATATAATCATGCGATAATTTTAATCTATAGGACAGGGGACTGATTGGGCAAAACCCCATTCAAACCCCTACCTGAAATTATAAATTGGTTAGTATCAGAGAACAGAGAATTTATGAAAATAATTATACAAAACAAAAACTATTTTACAACTTTCCTCTTAACATCAGAGCCCAAATGTGATTTCAGGGTCACCAACCCACCCTGAATTGTAACCTCATGTGCTTGAAACGAGTTGCAGATTCTCTTAATATTTCTGCAGAGTTGCAACCTCTTTCTCTGGTCTGGGTGCTGTGTGGAAAGATTAGTGAAAGTGTCATTGACGATTGATGCAATCATGATAAACTCCAGGGCCACGTACCCCCCTAGAATTTAATTGCATCGTTGTATCTCAGGGCAAGCTAGTCAGATTAGCCTTTTGTACACAAGGAAGATGTGAGAATGACTGTAAAGTGTTCAAGGCAGCGTGCGTGCATGCTTCAACATCTGCTAATTTCCAATAATCAAATGTTGCATACTTGAATTGTTTCTTTTTCAACGGTGTGCTGCCTTGACATCTTCTTTTAATTAATTATATAATAATATAATATTAATGTTAATAATATTGATATGATTACAAAAGGCCAAATACCAATTGTTTACCATCTTGATGAGAATCTTATAATTACCCAGCAAGATCTGCTCCACGTTTGATTTAAAAGACATATCAATGCAAATTAAAAAAAAGTTACCTCTGGTTAGTTATTAACAAGTTTCTTTTTAGAACCCAATTGTGCTAAACAACATCACTCGCGTTTGTCATCTGTCAAAAAATAAATTGTTTTTCCAAAAAAAACAACCAGTGTTGGCAATTTAACTGGTTCAAATCTTTTTTTTTTTTGAAACTATTAGTTAAATAACCAGTTAATTATATAGTAAATAACTTTGCAAGTTATTTTGTATATTAATAACTAAATTTAGACTAGTCATGATCATCATATACAGTCAAACCTCAAAATTCGTTGAAACAAGATTACAAATTCATTGAAACGCGAATTTAATTATAATTCGCTGAAACGAAGTTCGTTGAAACGATCTATGATTTTTTTAAAACCAAAATCACGTGAAGATCCATTTTTGAAATTTTGAGTGTGACGCACCAATGGGAGTCTTTAGACCTAGCCAACCATAGTCATTAATTAAAATCTGTAAAACTAAAGCAATTAATATACAAATATGTGGCTATTTGTATTTCTTTTGTCAAGATTGTCAAGATTTTTCATAATAGACTGAACACAGGCTTTCCGTCCAAACTTAAAAATTATATGAAAATTTTCATTGGTCCTCCCTCGCTTGAAAAGGTAGCAGAGAACAAGTGCCACATTAACATTAAATAAAATCGAAACATCATATATATAAAAAAATGATTTGTTTTTTTAGATAAACTTTAAAAATAAAATGTTTTTATTAAAGCAAAGCATTTTGGCAAAAGGCAACAATTGTGGAGCTTTGGTAAAAGCCTACGTTTTATTTTTTTCGTAAGCAAAAGTTAGGACTAACTAGCGCGTGCTAACAACGATTGGTTGCTTTAGTAGGCAAGCAAAGGATAGTGTTATCGTAACCAAAAACGTAAGGCTGTTAAACAAGCCGTTTAAGTTGCTTTGTAAATAAACAAAGGTTGCAATTGGCTCAATAAAAAAGTGTAATAAATCGGTCACCTGATATTTTTTAAGTACCAAATACATTTTCTATTGTGTATACTTGTATCTTTTTTGCTTTTCTATTTGTCTAATGGTTTATCAATTAATTTTCGAATCTTTTTCTTCTTTCTCTGCGTCTTCTTCAACGCCCTCTTCAAAAGGTTCTGCTGAAAAATCGTCTAATTCTATTTGTTCTATATTACCATCTTCTAGAACCTCTATCAGAGAATCATTCAATTCAATTTTTATTAGAATTTATTTCTTGATTTTTGATTGATTACTTTCTTTTATCATTTGTTTTTTTGTTGTTTTAACGATGTAAATCGTGATATTTTATTGTTCAAAATTTACATAAACCAAAAAATACACAAACTCTCCCCGTAATACAAAAATGTATATCTTCTTTTTTTATAAAAATTGGAAAATTAAGCTTTACGCGCCTCACTTCAGAAACCGTGTAAAACATCAATCAAATTTTCGTCAAAAAAACCTACCAAAAATTTAACTAATTATTTTGCTACTTGTTATCATATTAATAACAATATTAATTAAATTTGTTTTAAACTTTTTTTTTTAGTTACACCTCCGCCATTTTCCTTCTCACAACCTCCGTGTCTTGAATATAGTTTTTTTGTTGCCACTTTTAAAGTTTTAATTTATTATTTTTATATTAAAAAAAACTTTTCAAAAAAATTTTATTTTCTTTATTTTGGCTGCGCCCTGGTGGCAAAAAAATATTTTTCTCTTTCATTCATTTAAATTTTTTTGCTTGAAACTATCGATCACATGATAATATTGACATTTTATTGGTTCAAACTTTGTAACTAAACTAGTTTTTTTTTTTGAATAAATATATCTTCATATTAAAATAATACAATTACGTGTAATAAATAAGTCACGCATTATTGTTATAAGCTAATTAATTTTGATTTTTTTTTTTTTGTAGATAATACATAAATGTATATATTATATAAAAAATGTAATCAAAATGCTCTGGAAAATTAAATCATCTGTTAACTTACTTTCCAACATATATAATCATGAATAAAAATAAATGTAAAATATATTCATTACCTTACGAAACAATTTATCAAATCTTTTTGACCCTTTTCTTTATAAGCGATAATAGCAAAAAAGGCTTGTACAACTGTTTACAAGTAGATAGTTATTGGTGTCAAATAATCTTGTCAATATTATGGGAAAATCCATTTAAAAGTTTTTTATATGTTAAATATAAACGTGATGTTAAATTGGAGGCTTTGTTTATCAGAACTTGTATTATGTTTGCAAGAAGAAGCAAAGGTTGATTCACTAGTGAAAATAAAAGAATCGCTAGTAAAAATAGCAAAAAAGAAGATTTGGACAAGAGTTTGTCATTGTTGATTTTTAAAAAGCCTTTATTTAATTATATTAAATTTATAAAAGTTTTAGATTATGTAAGATTATACGAGTGTGTCAATCCTTGGATTAAACAATATGGTGATGATGGTCATAATTATGAAGGTAATGGCAAACAAGAAGATAAACATGAATTAAAAAATTTAATACTTTATCAAGAACTTTGTAATTTAATTCTATCAACAACAACAACAACTACAAATTCTAGAAACTCAAGAAATCAAAATAAATCAGCATCATCATCATCACTTAAACATTATTTTCACAATTATTATGGAAATTTTTCTAAAAGAATTATTACAATATTATCAATGGCAATGATTATCATTATGATAAATACTTTAAATATCCAAAGTATTTATTGGAGGGATTTCATGAAAAGATTGATGAATTAGAATGTTTAACATTAACAGATTTTAAATATCCTAAATTTTGGAAACAATTTCAACAAAAAATTAAAAAAATTAAAAATTTGGTGATTTTATTTGGAAAGTTTGCTATTGCTAAAAATGAAAGAAAGTAGTTTGGAAATAGCCAATTTAATTAGAAATATTGAAGGTTTAGAATCATTATCAATTATAAGCATGGTAAATAAAGACAACAATAACCTTAATTATACTTGTGACAACAACAAATCAAGAATTGATGGCATTTTAAGAGCAATTGAATATAAGGCTCAGTTTATTAAGGAGTTAACAATTGAATTTGTTCCAATAAAAATATTTATAAATTGTAAAAATTAGAAATTCTCACAATTAAAGATAAATGTTGTTATGGAAAAAAGGATCAAGCAAGCATTTACTGGGATGATGGTGATGATATTGGAAATTTCAGAAATTTAAAAGTTTTAAACTTTAAACAAAATACAATTGATTTCGAAAATGTTGTGAAATTAATTAAAAAAACAAATTATAATCTTTTAAACATTAAATTAACCTGGAGAGTGAAAAGGAAACCATCATCATCATCAAACATTTATAATCATAACACTGCCTCAAACCATAACAATTTATTTGACACAATAACAAAATACTGTCCAAATCTAAATTATATAAGTTTACAAATCAATAATGAAACATTTAGAGATTTGTTTTGTATTTTCAAATCATGTAAAAACCTAAAGAATGTTGATTTGAATAGCGAAGCATATTTTGAAATGAAAATATGGGATATCAGTAAAGATATGAAAGAATTTGGTCAGGTAATTAATGTCAAATCTCTAATTAAAGTGAAATTTGATTCTAGAATAAATATTAGTAATGATGGAATTAAAGATTTCTTACAGTCTGTTGAAGAGAATTTCAATTTGAATAATAACATTAGCAACCAGAAATTTATTGTTGAAAAGCCTTTGGTTTATAATGAAAATCTTGTATTTAGAAAACAATTTATTCATAAATAATACAGTGCAGAAGCTCTATAATAGGAACAAATGTTACCTTTCTTTAAAAGTGTATAGATTGCTCAAAAAAAATTTTTAAAAAAGTACTCCATAATTTTGATAGCTAATGACCTTAACTTTAAAACTTATGGATTAGAATTTTTTTTTTTTTATATAGAATTTGGATCCAAAATTGAGACTAAGTGTTTTCGTGGAACAGAATTTTTTATTGCATTTTTAAATGATCTTATTAACACAAAATTTCATTAATTTTAATTAATAAAATAAAATAGTTTATTATAAAAATATAAAAAGCCGATTTGTGAAAGACAACATATATATATAAATATGAATTGTAACCAAATTTATATATGAAAAATACCAAAGTTATTAAAACTACAGTATATATAACTGGTGATGTTTATTATTACTCACTGAATGGGTGTCGATGAAATGGGTGTTGATGAAGTAAACGCCTCCCCTTAAATCCCCGGTGTGAGTATTTAGACCTTTTGCAATACTTATAAATGGACGAATTACAAGTGCACGAAGAATCTTCACAGCGATCACTTGCTAAGAAAAATTCACACTATGTATAGTAAATTGGAATCACTCTGCATACAAGTATACACAGTTAAAAATTCAAATCCTGATGTAGGCAAATCTTTATATTTTTCAAGTGAAAACTTATTATTTTAGGCATTATAAGCAATGATAAAACAAATAAAAATGTCTAATATAAATGCTACTTTATTAAACTATATATATACTTCTGCGCCATTAACTGCTTTAAGTTTCATTTATAGAATCAAAAGTCATGAAATATTCATTTATTTAAAAAGACCTTAATTGATTCGTGTTTTTTTTAGTTTTCTTCGTCTTACTTTCAGGGGTGTGAATCATCCGTGTTGTCATTTTAATAGTTTCAACCCTACTATCTTTATTCCATAGAAAGTCTCGTATAGTTTTTGAGCTTTCAGATAATAGGCACTAATTCACGAGAAACTAAAATGTTAATTTGAGTCTTCCGTATTTTGTTTCTTCTGAAATCTATCTATACCAACCTCATACTTCAACAAGCCCATTACAGTTTCATGGGCCTTTGCCATGTCTGTCCATGTCTTAGGTAAGGAAAATGTTAATGTTGCTTCCATAGTATAAATCTCGGTATATTTGAGTTGAAATTCGTAAATGGTTAACTCATTTACTGTTAAAACACAGAATTAGTAAGACATGATAACAACAATTATAGGCGAAGAATATTTAGAACTTACAATATGACTGTAATCCATATAACCTGACCAGAGTAATGTCAGAACTCGGACTAAGCTCTGCAAACTGATTCATTAAAGTTTTTAACATCTTCGTGATCTTCATCCAATCACCCTTAAAGTGTGCCCAATCATTTTTCATCAGAGGTCCACTGACTTCAGTTACAGAAAATTCTTTATCTTCTTCTCTCATGGAAATAATAGTATCTATTTTCTTTCCACTAGATCGGCGTTCGTCATCTGTTTTTTGAGAATTACCATCTTTTGCACTCGCCTTGAGGCAAGTTTCTCCGTATGATGCAAGCCAATCTTTTTTATTTTTAATGAAGAAGTAACCAAGAATGGGTGCTAAAACATTAATGATATATGTTCCCTCAGACATAGGATCAAGAAACAAATTCACATCTTCCATTAATTCTATCCTATATAAGGTTGGTCTCATTAGCATCATCAGACTCCTCCAATGAAGATCAAATAAATATACTCACATACGACTCACAAAATGCAACGCGAAGCTCTTTTCAAATGAAGAAATAGTTTCTTCTTTCCGTCGATTAAGTTTCTCCTTAGTCTTTTTTATATCACGATCAATAATACTATCAAGAAATAATTTAATCTCTTGCTCCATATTATCTTTTGTTTTTTCTTCTTTCTTCCTTATATCGTTACGCATCTGTACAATGATACTTTTATCTAATGTCCCTAAGAAACCATCCTTGTCATTAGAATCAAAGAAAATAACGTCATAATACTCTGGTTTCGTTTTCGATGGATTTTTATCAAGCTGGTATTGTGTCAGCCTTTCTCTTATATGGATCCCATTAACGATCCAATCTGTGCTTTTGCCACCGATAATTGTTATATCAGCATTAAATTCGTCATCCTCCTCTTCTATGTCACGGCCATGCTTAGTTCCTTGTAAGCCAGCTACAAAAGGATTCGGTTCTGGTTGATTATAAATATGTATTGGGAAAGTGTTGTAGAATGAATTTTCTTATCTTCCGGCGTAATATGTCGTTCTGGTGTATAGTATTGGGTATTAGGTCTCCGCCCACGTATGATCTCGGTAATTTCCTCTTGTACCATTTTCGATTGGGATCCAACTTCCTGTGCTGTGGTACACAACAGTTTGGCCTAGTAAAGTGTAGCATTAATTAGAAAATCATAAGAAAAGAAAGGCACAACACCATGCTTAACAGATGGGCATACATGTTGAAGTGCCGTGCGTTCAATCAACATGTCTTTTTCCTTTTGAAAGATCATCTTTTTGTTCTCAAGGGTCATTAGCTTTAACTTGGGAAAGGAAGAAAAAATGTTTAATAAAAGATATAAACCTGATGAGAATCAATGAAAATACGATATTTACCTCTTTCTTTTCTTGGGCGATGGTATGCCAAAAATAGAAGACATTTTCTCCGCTGGCTTCATCCTGACATAATAAAATGTGCAAAAATTAACACATGAACAGTAAACATATCGAGTACAAATAGTTCATCACGATTGTCGAGTGTTGTGATGTGGTGGCCAACATCAAACATGATAGTCATCAACAACTTGACCTAGAACAGTTATATCACTGTTCAGATTGTCAAGCGTTGTGATGTGGTATAACGTGATAGTCAACCTGGGATATCTGCTTCCAAGCCCATCTTCGCCCGCAATAATGAATACTTGCGGGCAAAAGATGGCCAACATCGAACATGATAGTTCATCAATGACCTAACCTAGAACAGTGGTATCTTCGTTCAAATTGTCAAGCATTGTGATGCTAGTATAACACGCATAGTCAACTTGGAGGTGCTTGCATACCCAAGGCCCACCTCTTACCCTACAGAAATTTTATTACTTAACTGTAAATGCTTTTAGAGCAGAAAATGCTTTAGATTGATGTTCGCTTGAGCCACTGCTTGTAAGCATGCCAAGGGTCTTAATATACATGTTGTACTCCTTCACTTTATCCACCGTCCAATTCTCTTCTTTCTGACGAAAGTTCAAAAAGTCCATAAGCGTCCAATCCAAACATTCTGCAAAAAAGTTCGTTTTCATTTTCAACACGAAGTGGTTTTAAAAAAATTGTGGTGTATACGTACTAAAAGAGCATAGATAAAATAAAAATCTGTTGATTGGTTAATTTTTTAAAAACGAATATAAATACTCTCTTATGAACAAAATACTTTAGTGTAAAATGTTATTTTTTTTTCATCTATCAATCTGTGTAATCTTATATATAATCTAAAAAAATAAAATACAGTTAGTCTATTTATTATCAATCGATAATCATTTGTGAGTTGTTACTGTTACAGATATTATTGATCAACCAATCACATAAAATAATTGCAATTCATACTAACACCTCATTTTTCGGCTCGTAACCGGTTGCCAGAATTACCAGCGGCCAAAAATACTGCCAGGATATTAAATACTGTAAACTGCCATGAATAAGCAATGAGCTTTTGACAAAAATTCGACTCAAATCAAGAATTGCTTGCTTAATTTGTTGTTTATTCATGGTTGAATTTATTTTTAGAATATGTACTACGTAGATCATATACTTTTTTAATTATTTATTTCTAATACAGTGCGTAACATCATAAGCCATCAAATTACTGCGCCAATGTATCAAATTCAAGAAAAATTTTCAATTTTTTTTT